TTGAACCTCACTTCCCACCTCTTAAAAAAAAAAAAAAAAAAAGAGGATATAGAAATCAAAATGACAAAATGGCCCAGGTATGATGATGGCTCATGCCTGTAATCCCAGCACTTTGGGAGAGTAAGACAGGAGGACTGCTTTAGGCCAGGAATTTGAGACCAGCCTGGGCAACAGAGCAAGACCCCCTCTGTACAAAAAAATAACTTAAAAATATTAGCTGGGTAGGGTGGCACATGTCCATGGTCCCAGCTACTTGGGGGGCTGAGGAAGGAGGATCGCTTGAGCCCAGAAGTTTGAGGTTGCAGTGAGCTATGATGATGCCACTGCACTCCATCCTGGATGACAGAGAAAGACCCTGTCTCTATAAAAAACAAAACAAAACAAAGTCTGCCTTAGTCACAGTTTCTGTTTTCTGTTTATTGAGTCCTCCCGATCAAAAGCTGAGAAAGATAGGCCTAGACTTGGTCAGCCCCAAGACTGTAGAATCTGACTGGTACACAGTGACTTTAGAGGACAGCAGTGAGACTAGAGATCTGTTTCCCCTGGGCTCCAAGTCATTGTATTTTCCTACCCCATTCCAGTCTCAACTTTACCCTCACATTCACTACCACCCATGACCCTGGTTACTCACCACCTGCTTGTTGGTTTTCTCAAAAAATGCTTCAGCAAACACTGACATAACAAAGACGTTGATGATCAAGGAAACAAAGACAGCAATGCAGGATTCAATGAAAAAGTACTTATTGGCTTCTCGAACTTCCTGTTTATTATTCCGGTTTACCTGTCTAGACTAGAGAGATAACAGCAGTAGTCATTTTTTGACCTGTTGGAGCAAATTTTCTTGTAGCATTTCACTAGTTTGGAGTCAGCTGAGAGATTCAGAGGGCAAATAATTGACCAGATGAAATGTGAGAGATACAACACTCACCTACATCCTAGTTCACTGAGTAACTAAGAACTTCATGCTCTTTGATGGCATTGCACATCCCCAAATAGGGAACAGTGACTAAATGACTACAGAGCTCTCAGTTATTGTGGCTGGAAGGACCACTGACCTACAAAAACCTGATTTCAGTCCTACGGGGTGTACAATCCTAATTATAAAGGTTTCTGAAATCTCCCAGCAAATTATTGTGTAAGACTGACTAGTAAAATCCCGGTTGGACTGCTGTGCTCCTGACCTCCACGAGGCCATTCGAGCTTTTGAAATTTAAACACAACAGGCTTGGTGCACTTTCGGCCTTTCATGAAGAATTTTAGTTCCACCTTCTCTCTGGAGCCAGTAATCTCTGGTCAATTTGGGATAAAAACTGAGTCCAAGTCCAAGCATGCAAAGGTTATAAATGTCCAGGCTTGGAAAATAACTTGCTCCTTCAGAGCTCTAATAGTTATACACTAACTTTGTGTCCCTTGAAGTTAAAGGAAAACATCCCATCAACTATACAGGATGCTACTGAGATAAGGGCCTTGCTTACCTTGACTAGGGCAGAATGCAGGTACACGTTGTGTGGCATGATGACAGCTCCCACGATGCCCACGGCCTGCTCAATCTGTGGGGTGTGACAGCCTGAACAGGATGGCACGAACATGCCCTTGAGTACCTGGCTCTGGCTGGGTTTCACTGTAACATACTACGTGCCAACAGAATAACCATTAGCCTTTCCTGGAACATGAGACTAGGGGAGTAACACAGTACTAGGGAAACACTCAGCATCCTTTACGCCTTACCGCCTCTTCTTCTGCAACTACCTTCGATAATGAGGAATACAGAATCATCAAAGAACCGAGCAACATATGGGACTTCCTACCAGGGGTCAAAGAATCCAGGACTGGAGTATTGAGAGATTTTACATCATATTTTAGATACATAAAACAGATATGTATAGAATGTAATTGATATTCAAAAGAAATGAAATGGCTAAGGATCTTACTGTTATTAGCTTCACAGCAATTTCTGTGAGACAGACCCAAGACATAGAATCAAGTCTCACTTATCTCTACATATCCTGCTTCTGTTCACCTATGTTCATCTAAAAATCACTTGATGTTTCCACTAGTGTGTAGTGAGTCTCAATCATAAATACTTCTCATACATACTTTTCCCGGGCTTAGCATTTCTCTTGGAAGCCTTTGGCCAAGATGCATAATCTACTCATAAATTAGATTTTTTTAAGTTTATCCAGGCTGCTAAGCAGAAATCAGTTATAACAACTGGCCACAGAAAGGTGCTACTACTGCAAATAATGGTACTGATTCTTAGGGGTTCCCGGGTTGGGGTACAAACCACAAAATATCCAGTATATCCCCTATAGTTCATCAACTCTTTTAATACAGGGAAAGTTCAAGCTGCAATTAAGATAAACCAGGATGAGCAAAAACAGAATCCTACCTGACAGCAAAGAATAACCCTACAATTCCCACCCTAACACTCTACAAGTTGTTCCATTGTCAGGATGGCCAACGTGGGACTAGGGAATCTAGTCTGGAAAGCCCTAGGAAGTCTAGTCATTTGTAACTTAGTAATCTCTACAGGCCTTTCTGCACACTAATCTTTGCTAAAAATCATATTTCTTCAAAAGTGCCCCAGGACGGAACTGACTTTTTATTGATGTATTTCATACAATGAAACCATCCTAGCACTAGTACTGTCTTTTATAATAAAAGGCTAAAAAAAAATTAAAAACCCACACGTTAAAAAGCTAATGAATAACCTGTAATACTTGCCTCATATCCAAAAGTGAGGGCCATAACGGTGATGAGAAAGCCAAAAAATGCTTCTAGCTTCCGCAAGCCTAAAGGAGAAAATGCAGCAGTGAGCTCACAGCAGGCAGACTTCCCCATTAGCCACATGAGATAAAGCAGCTGCTTTGACTGACCCCGACATTCCCACTCTCCTTACCATACTTGTCCAAAAAGAGAAACACAAAGGTATCTGCAATGGTGATGAGGACTCCACCCCACAGAGGAATCCTAGGTCAGAGATAAGAAATGGACGGCAATGAAAAGAAAGGAAACGTTGAACAACACTTTCTTCCCACCAGCTCTCTAGATACAAACACTTGGAAAAGCCAGAACTTGGGAGAGAAGGGACAGTGGCAAGAAGCCAGACCTTGGGTAGTTTAGGATAACAGCACCAACTTGATTACATTCATTCAAACCCTGATTGAGAGTCTACTATGTCAGATATTTAGGTTACGAAGATGAAAAGTATGGGTGTTACCCTCAAGGAGCTCACTATCTAATGGGATACACTAACAAACAAATAAACAATTATAATACAAAATACCACACACTCTATAAGAGAGATATGTATAACGCACCGTGGGAATGAAAGATGTAGAGCCTACATCTTCTGAGGGAGAGGAAGGTAGCTCCAGAAAGGTTCCACAGAAGAAATAATAATTGAGTTGAATCTTGAAAATTAAAAATGAATTGGGTTTTTGTTTTCACCTTTGCTTTGAAACCCACTGAAACACTGATTACTTTCTAGAGGAAAACCCCCTTACCTTCCTAAAGACAGAAGATTGATGGCAATGGCTGAGCCAATGACTTCTTGCATGTCTGAGCCAATAATAGCCAACTCCACCATCAGCCACAGGATGATTCGTGGGACCTAAACACCAAACAGTAGAAAGGCATGGTTCTTTTAGAAACAAGGTCTCAGTCTGTACCCCATGGTGAAGTACAATGGCACAATCATAGCTCACTGGAGCCTCAAAGTCTTGGGCTTAAGCCATCCTCCTACTGCAGCCTTCCAGACTCCCAAAATGCTAGGACTACAGGCAAGCACCACCACAACCTGCTAATTTTTAACATTTTTTTGTAGAGATGGGGTCTTCCTATGTTGCCCACGCTGGTCTCAAACTCCTGGCCCCAAGCAAACCTCCCCCTCGACCTCCCAAAGCTTGGGGTTTACAGGCGTGAGTCACTGTGCTTGGCAAGACAAGGTTCTGATTAATCATTTCTAGGCCACTCCCCTGTATTCTGGTATTCATATTTTAGCATTGACCCAGAAACAGTCCTTTTTTTTTTTT